ATCAGTTGGTCGAGCATCTGCTTGTCAGTTGTAAGTCTCATCTGGTCTAGAGTTCGATTCCCCTCGATAGAGAGTATGGTACTTGAATTATTAGGTGTATCGGGGATGGCCGAGGCTCATATGATATTTGCCGGCCATTCCTTTTTTAATATATATATAATATTTTTAGTTTTTAAAAATTTTCAGCACTTGTAAAGAAACACAGCAGAAGTGCAGTGCACAAAAAATAAATTTAGAAAACACAAATTAAAAATAAGAAAATTAAAGTGTCAAACTTAGATCCTAAGTTATTCAACTAAAGTTTTTCTATTTTGATCCCTTAGAATGATTGCATAATTCCATTGGAATGTGTCTATCCTATCGAAATTCAGTGGTTAACCTTTTGTTTCTACAGCACAATGGTTAGAGATTGTAGCTTAAAAGAAAAATTTTAATATCATAATTGTTCAAACTATAAGTAAATTAAGTTCATAGGTTAATAACAATATTGGCTATGAAAACACAAAAAATGCTAATAGAAAAACATTATGGAAAAACTATGATTAAATCCACTACCACTATATCACAAAGACACAAAGAATCAATTTAGCCATGCATCGTGGAGAAAACCATATAAAAAAAAAACTGCATCATTTCATTGCGAGAAAGATGAACATGTAAAACTTACAATAACTTTTCTTCTCCACACTTGTAGCAGCTCCTCATCTCATACAAGTCTCTCACAACTCACAAAACATATGAAACACACCCTCCAAGGTTTTCACAAAGGAGGAAGATGTGAAAAGCTTCAAATTCTCTCCAAATCTTGCCTCCCATGACTCCCTGATGCAGAACTCCTCCAAGCCAAGAAGAGGCCAAGAAGCCTAAATGAATTTCTCTCATTACATAAACAAGTTTTTATGTGCAGATCGGCGTGGTCATGTCTGAAACTGGCGTGGTCACACCCAATTCTGGCGTGACTGCCTGACAACACTGTATTGCATTTTTTTACTCTGTTTTGTGTTTGACACATTTAACCTACACAACATCAACAAAAACCTTTCTCAAGTGTATATCTGTATAAATCAGTAAAAATAGCAGGTATATTATAACGAATAATACCAATAAAATCATGTAAAATTAACATGTGTCAGCATCCATTATTATGAGGGCGTCCGACGTCCACAATTACGCTTTCAGGGATCATATATGCCTTAAAGTGGCGGCAACGTGTACTTTGTCAATTTAAATATGACTCTGAGCTCCATATATAATAGGTTTGATGTTGTTGAGTCATCCAAGTAGCAATATGTGCTAGATAGACCTTCTACCTATAAGAGAGATAAAATGGTCGAAGTTAAGGAAGTTGTTTTGTAAGCACTAATTTCATGAAATTCTTTACTTGATTTAGAGTAATTTATCACTGAAAATAGTTGGATGCAAAATCTAAAGCTTATAAATCAAGAAAAGAGCCAAAATGGTACTTCGGCTCTTTGAAATGAGCCATTTTAATCCCAAAGACTATAGAGGTGTCAATTTAGTCCTAATTCTATTTTGAAAAGGGATGAAATAGTTCTCACATATGAATATCTTAGTTCTTAAAGAAGAGTTTGTGGGCTAATTTGGCATTTTTATAGGTCATGGGATGTTGACAGTTGAAGGACTATTTTGACACTTTACTCCTTCTAAATCTATAGAATGACACCAATTGGAATTTGATTTAAAATTCGAGTTGAAGAATTTGAAAATCATATAAAAAAAATTATCTATGTGCTCATAAATGTTTTTCTTATTTACATTGTTATTGTGGCAAAAAACAAAAGAATTCACTACTCAAGACTACTGATGCCACATGGTGGTAACATAGAAGAACAGCTTAAAGAGCATGAGAGGCAAATCCAGCTTGCTGTAAGCAAGGCTTATTTAAACAAGGTAAAAATCAAGAAAAATTATAACTAGAGCCTGAGTTTTATGTCTTGCTTCTTTTAGCCTAAGCCAGGTTTTGGTGCTCGAGAAGATTGTTTGAGCCAATGTAAATGTTACTTTAAGCGTGAATTCATCAGTAATAAAGATGTTTCACAACATGATTTATCTTTGTAATTTTATCCTTCTCTGCAAAAATTTGAAGATTCCAAAGAATAACGTATGGTGAGTTTTGAGTGTCTAGCTAGAGCTGACCTGTCTGTAAACGCAAATTTATGTTGCTAAATCCACATATAATGTGATAAGTCTATGATATACTCTTAGTAAATAATTTATTGTTCCTATTCTTCAATTAATGTCAATCAAGTAGTTTCTCAGCTGATTTACTTTTATTATCAGTGGTTAACATTGTTCTTCTACTTGAATTATATTCTTATTACTGGATTCAACCTCCTTCTATATCTCTTATTTTCTGATTTTGTTCTGTAAAGATCTTTCGTTTAATTAAGACTTTAAATTGCTCATTAGTCCGCAAATTGCTAAGAAAATCTGCTATTAGGTTAATTCCACATATGAGTTGGTTTTTTTCCTATAAATTTGTCTTGTTAAGACTTGTGGAATTAGGGAGCAAATCTGTTGAGCCGAACAGATAGATCATATAAATGGCGGTCTTATCATTTTGGTTGTTAATCACCTCAGTTAAAACTTTGAGTAAGCTCCTAGGTCATGAGATTCAATGGTTCAAGAGGTTTGTAGCTCCCGTGGGTATTGATCGACTTGTATCATATTTGAGCAATATTTAAGAGCGGGTGACTCATGATAAATTCACATGCTAATGTTCTTGATGCATGCATTATTCCCAATAATTGTTTGAAAGGGAAAGAAGAGAGTGATATTCAAAGTGAATGTTTTTTTCATGTAAAAGGAGATTCTTGAAGCACTTAAAGAGCAATACAATTGTTTGTATCCAGTATCATTCTATGGAATCTGAACGAACACTTCAACTACCAACACAATTCAAAAAAATGCAATGATAAAATACATGTTTAAATTAAGTCAATTGGATTCCTCAAAGGACTCGCTACAAAGAATCCAGTCGAGGTTAAATCAAACTAAGCCGAAGAGGAAATGAATTCGCTTACACTTGCGTCCAGATTAATGCTACAGAAAGAGCTACGCATAAACCGGTCTCGCTTTAAAAATTTCGAATGATATTTTGTAGTTGACCATGTAGCTCGCGTGTAGCCACTTGCATGTTTCTTTGCAATTGTTAAAACTAACAGGACTTTCTCGTCTCTTCTGAGTAATTGTTTGCTAATATTTTTTGGGGCATTAACATAACATACCACAATTTATACGTATTTACATATCTAGCAGACAAGCTTTCATATTTACATTCAATGCACGCAAATCTTCAATATCACATCAAGTTTCATGCATGGTTTATGACATCAAAATGTTATACTTGCAAATATGAAAGTTTAGGTGTTAGACATGCAAATAAAATGAAATAATAAATCATTCCCAAAACATGCCATAAAAAGAAAAAAAATGTATATTTGTTGATGCTGAGCTCCACTACTACAAGAAAACATTAATGTTTTGTTGATACGGCTTAATATAGAATAGGAGCATTTACATATGCATACCACCAAGTTCTTCTACATTTACATATCTAACACCTAAACTTTACTTTTTACATATGTAACGCCAAAATCTTTCACATCACATCAAAAATACGACTTTTAACTTTAAAACAATACATGATATACCTTTCTCATTCATAGATAAGGTGTCCTATATATGTAAAAATTGAAGGTTAGGTGTTAGATATGTAAATACATGGGAATTAAGTGCTATTTATGTAGATCTTCCAATAATAAAAAAAAAATCTCAGCTTGTTTGAGCTGATAAAAATGGCGATTCATGCGCATCGCAGCATGGATGAAATGAAGCAAGATGCGCACGCCTTCCCTCGAAAAATCTCATACAGAATAAATCAAACTTCCCAATCTTGATTGCTTCTCTAATTGAGCGGAAGAACCCTAAATAATGATGAGTGTTGTGACTGAAACAAAGTGTTAACACAGAGTTAAGATAATTTTAAAGCTTGTTTTCATGGCAGAGTCATGAAAGAAGGAAAGAGAGACTTACATTTCTAGTAGGATTTGAGCTAGCATTTCATGCACATTAAGCAAGTGATTGATGTAAGCTCGAGTATGATTCTGACACGTGTAGCAGCTACAATTGTTGACAATAGGTGACGCGTCGTTCCTGCAAAGTGCAACAAAACTTTCTCATTGTTTAATTTTTAAAGAGAAGTGTCAAAATTGTCTCTTACTCTCTGCAAGAGATCATTTTAATCACAAAATTTATAAAAGTGTCATTAATACGAGTGAAATAGCTTCTAATGATGCTATTTTATTTAACACATTTTGGGCACTAATCTAGCACTTTTATAAACTCTAGGATTAAAATGACCCTAACTAAATTGTCAAGGGACTGATACCGGAGTTAACAAATACAAAGGGAAAAACATATATTACTATTGGAATCAAATAGGAACTTACAACCAAACACAACAAGAAATCTGATATTGCAACAAACTATAACACAAACTTAACCAGGCTTGGAACTAGGGGGTGGTGGTGGTGGTGGTCGGAGAGGGCTTGGAAGGTGGTTGGCGGTGGACGAGACGGTTGGCAATCAGAAATAGCAAGGCATTAGTTTTTGGGCTGCAAGAAAGAAGCGAGATTCAAAGCAGAAAGGCTGTCCAGAGGATGCGGTCGGTCCGGACCAGCAGGAACAAGGGGTGTCCAGGTTGGGGTGCTGGCAGCAAGGGGAGTGAGGCAGTAATGGTTCTGGAAGATGGCAGCAAGTGGGAAGGGGCATGGAGGAGGCAGCAAGGTGAAAGGGGAGGAGCGGTGGCTGGGAAGGCTAGAAAAGGCGGGAACAACAATTCATTGTTCTTGATGGTGGCAACAAGCAGAGAAGCGGATGACGATAGTTGGAATACAGAAAACTTCAGGAAAAAAAAATAAAGCAAAGACAGATGTTTTGGGTGATTGCAGCAAGAAAGGGCAACGGGAAGCAATGTGGGAAGGATGTGGAAAAGTTGATGGAAGATAATCACCACCTCGGAAGCAAGAGATACAGCCGGAGCACCACTTGGATCCTTGGATGCAACCATTTAAGGGAAGAGACTCCGACAGCTATCCCTAACAAACACATGAAATAACACCCACCTGAACACTACAAATGAAAATAAATAGCACTAAGGCAATTACAAGTGGGCCCCCTCTTACAAGGAGGTGTAATCTCATGCAAAGAGGGTCGGGTGGCCCTCAGAGTTTTGTTCTGAACCGGTCCATGCTGCCAGAGCAAGATCGTGTCCGGTCTAGAGTCGGAGACGCCCACATCCTTTTACGCCCCATGTCAGTCTCCCAAAGTTATGGGAGTTTCATCCTAATCTGTTGGAGTTTCTATCTCCTCATCGTATAGCTTCAGATCGGCCATGTTGAAGGTGTTGGAACTACTATAACATTCAAGCAAGTCAATCCTATAGATGTTGTTATTTCAAAGTACATCCTGATAAAATAAGTATGCATCCTCTTTTGACACAACTTGAACTGAAACTGCATTAAGACGTAGATTTTTACAAAAATTACTCTCGAGTCACTAAGTTTGTAAATCGTCTCTTCCACTCCTATTCAACTGATCGCATCCGATAAAAATTTGTTTGAAGGAATTAACTCTCGAATAAAATCTATCGCATGCCATACAACTCTCAATAGCAACCACTCTGGAGGGGCCCCTTCTTCTCCGGAAGGACTTGGATCCTGTTGAAGGATGTTCTTTCCCACAAAGCTCCAAAGGCGATTTCCAACACTACGGTTCTTCTCCCATGTTCGATCATCTGTCGGTGGGTATATTTTTCACTGAATTGAATGCCCAAATCACTTCATTTAGTCATTAGCAAGTAGCTTAAAAGTTTCTTATCTCTAATAGGTTGGACCTCCCTCAGTAAGGCAACTTAAAAGGTGGGTTATATCTTTAAAAATTCCAAAATTCTCTCAATAGCAACCACTAAGGAGGGACCCTTCTTCTCTGAAAGGACTTGGATCACATTATAGGATGCTCTTCCCCACAAAGCTCTTAAGGCGATTTCCAACACTATGATTCATCTCTCTGTTTGACCATCTATCGATGGTACTTTTTTTAATTGAATTTAATACCCAAATGACTTTATATAGCCTTCTGGATGTAGCTCAAAAGCTTATCATCTCTAACATGTTGGACCTCCTCAATAAGGCAACTCAGAAGGTGGGTTATATCTTTTAAAATTAAAAAATTCTCTTATATGGGATTATCATGTGTCTAGTGTTGGTTTCTCGAACTCATAACACTCTTGACAAACAATCTTACTCCTGTTCGAGCCTCTCTCATAGGCTCGGCTTCAATGATGTGCATCTCTCCCGCATTAATTGGAAGCTACTCATTTGGGTCCTCACCTTCTTCAGTGTTTATTAAGTCCTCATCCATTTCTTTAACTGCTCCATGCTTAGTGAAATAGATCATGCTCTTGTTTGGGCAACTTGATGCATTATGCTCAAAACTGTGTCACTTGACATACTTCCTGGCTAAGACGAATTTGGGAGTGTTGGTTGGCTTCACTTATTCTCTACTCTTAAATTAGTTTCTCCTCAAACGGGGCTAGCTTTTATGCTCAACTGGGTGTACTGTGTTGTTTGATCCTGGCATTGAACTCTGCCTATAAGATATGACAGTCACACAGTGATGTTGATTTGAGAACATGTCTTCTCTGTAATGAACTGGTATGTACTTGTATTGCATCTCATTTCATCTAAGACCGTTTAGTGATTTTATTTTTATTTACCTCCGACGTGTGTACTTCAAATTTTCCCACCACAGCAACGCGCTCTTATTTAACATGATAGTGATTGGCTTTACCAATGTTTGGTAGAATATCATTGGATTAAAACAGACATCGCACTTCCTGGAGCCACTTGATGAATTCAATTGAATCCTCACGACCATCAAAATCCGATAAATCTACCTTTACTTGAAGATCCTCGCTCCTCTAATATTCCCTGCCAAGTCTTTGGGGCAATGGTCCTTTATCCTTGGAATTTGATTGGTGAAAGGAATTCAATTCATTCCAACGATCCTACGAGTCGCTATTGTGGGTATGAGTGATGCTTTAAGATTGTCTCCTTTCGAAGATGGCAAGCCTTTGTTGCAGTTGAAAAATCAGCTGCATATTTTCAATAGAAAATTCATGGATATTTCTTCACGGATTTCTCATAATCAACATTATGACATTTCCTCCCGATCAGATTTCCGACAGTTGTCTTCTTGGTGGCATGATTAAGGCTTAGGTTTGAGCGGTGAAGGGGGTGTATTGGGTTGGTTTAAAGTGGGGAAAAAATTTTTGGGAGAAGATTTGAAAATCAGCAAGGATGTGGGGTTTTGGGTGGAGTTTGAGTTAGGTATGGGTGGGTTTTGGTAAACCTAGGTTAGGATTAGGGGTAGATTAGTTTTGATATCAAATGAAGTCAGAGTTAACCAACACTAAGGAAAAACAAATATTATTACTGAAATCAAATAGGAATGCAACCAAGCATAATAGGAAATCTGAAAATGCAACAAAAGATAACACAAACTCAATTGGAGTTGGATCTGGAGGGGGTGGTGGTGGTCGGCGAGGGCTTAGAAAGTGGCGGTAGTGAACGAGGTAGTTGGCAATTAGAAAACAGCAATGTAGTTATTTCCAATTGCCTGGGCTGCAAGCAAGCAACGGAAGTCAATGCGGAAGGGCTGTCCAAAATGGCGGTAGCAAAGATGCCCGGCCAGGGGTAGCAGCAACAAGGGGCGTCCAAGTTGGAGTGATGGCAGCAAGTGGGAGCAGGACAGTGAAGGTTCTGGAAGATGGCAGCAAGTGTGAAAAGGTATGGGTGCAGGTTCTGGAGATAGCAACAAGGTGGAAGGGCGGAGCGGTGGCTAGGAAGGCTGGAAAAAGCGGGAAATCCTTGTTGTCTTCGATGGCGGCGGCAAGCAAAGAAGCGGATGGCAGTAGTTGGATGGCAAAAAGTGCAGCAAGAAACAACAAAGACAGATGTCCCAAGTAGTTGTAGCAGGAAAAGCTAATGAGAGCAATGTGAGAAGGACGCGGAAGGTTTGATGGGAGATTATCACCACCTTAGGAGAGTGATACAGTCGAGCACCACTTGGACACTTGGATGCAGCCCTAGAAGGGAAGTTACACAGGTGGCTGTCCAAAACAAACACATGAAAAAACTCACACCTAAACAAGACTAAAAGGCAATTCATAGCTATGGGACATCTTCCTAAACCTATGAATTTCATTGGACCCAGAAAGGAGACATTGGAAGAATCTTTTTGGCCTTCCAATAGAAATAGGTTGATTATTTCGCTCTTCTGTATCTTCCAAAAGGGAAAACGATTTCTGAGAGTTGTTTCATGGATTCACAAGAGAGTACTAAAATTATCTCAATAAAGAAAAAGTGTATCATGCCTGGATCTAACCAGAGTTTGCGGTGGTGGAGGAACCGGATCGAAAAAAAAAAGATTCTAGTTCTAGGATATCTAATGAACCCGTAGCTGGAATCAAAATCTCATTCAAAGAGAAAGATAGCAAATATCTGAAATTTCTTTTTTTATCCTATACAGATGATTCGATCTGCAAGGGTCAGGTCATGATTGGGAATTGTTTGATCGTCTTTCTCCACAAAAGAAATGAAGCATATCAACTTGAACTCGGGACAACTATTCAAAATCTTAGGGAACGACTTGATTTGTTACCTCATGTTTGTTATTTCCTGAAAAACGATCAATTCAAGGGGAGAGTTATTTCAAACAACGAGGAGCTATGGAAACGATACAATCCAATGATATTGAGCATGTTTCTCATCTCTTCCCAAGAAATAAGTGGGGATTTTCTTTGCAAAAATGTGCTCAATTTTATATGTGGCAATTCCACCAAGATCTCTTCGTTAGTTGGGGGAAGAATCAACACGAATCGGCCTTTTTTAAGAACATCTCGAGAGAGAACTGGATTTGGTTAAACAATGTGTGGTTGGTAAACAATCATCAGTTTTTTAGCAATGTACGGAATGCATTTTCAATTATTCAATATGATTCCACAAGATCTATTTTCGTTCAAGTAACAAATTCTAGCCAATGGAAAGAATCTTCTAATCAATCCAGATCATTTCGATTCTATTAGAAATGAG